ACAGCTTCCATTGGCCAAAGAGAATCAGCTGACACCTGAGTGTAAGTTTCATATCCATAGACTCAACCAATTGGTAATTAAAGACATTTGAGAAAAACTTCACCTGTATTGAATATGCAGACATTTTAATTGTCATTATTTCCGAACCAATACAGTGTAACAAATATTTTCATAGCATTTACATTGTATCCGGTATTATAAGTAATCTAGAGATGATTTAAAGTGTTTTGGGTATATGTCCATAGGTTCTGTGAAAATACTGTGCCATTTTACGTCAGGGACTTGGTGTCCTTGGCTTATCATATCCCCAGGGTCAAGCCCCTGAGGATACTGAGGGCCAACTATACTTACTCCTGTTTTGGAGGATTGAGACCAGGGCTATAAGGTGCTGCTTGGTAAATTATACTTTGAATACGTTCATCACCCCCGAGCTGAAGAGCTTGGGTGCTTTTCAGTGCATCTTAGAAGGGACATTAGGTGAAATGTGGTGTTGCAAAGACCTGATCTGGTCTATACCCTTAGGCAGTGACACCTCGAGGGGTGAGCACAGCTCAGAATGTGTGCCATGGTGGGCTACAGGGGCGATACAGCCTCCTCCTTCCATCAGGCTCTCTCCAGTGGGAATTCGATTGATTTCCTTCACCCACCCCAAAGTGAAATTCCTCCTTTTCTTTGCTCTCAGCATTTGTGTTTGAGCTTTGTAGTTCCCACCCTCAGGGATGAGAGTTAATGGTGAAACCCTCAAAGGGAGAGCCTGTGTATCCCTAGAAGCCAGCCCGGGTCTGGCACGAAGCAGGTGTGTGCCACTGAGGAGTGAGGGGTGAGTGAGCCTTGTTGTCAGTGTTCAGCTTAACTTGGAGCCTTGAGGGCACCCCATCTGAGGCCCAACCTGCTAGTTCCGCCTGACATACAGTTGTAGGCGATTTTGCATCTAAATAAAATGGAAGGAACAGCAATGGAAGCACTCGTGTGTCAGTTCAGGTTTGATCGACATATGAGAATAACTCATAGGCACTGCACTGTCTGAGGCTGTTGGAGCTGTGAGGAAGGCTTTGGAAGGCTGCCGCCTCTGCACTCTTGGTTGGTGGCCTGAAGTCGCTATGGATGAACAAGGCTTGGGGGTGGGAAATAAAGCTGGATGGGAAGCAGAGCCGAACAGAAACAAACTGGAATTCGTGGAAGCAAATTGCACCTGTCCCTCCCCACACCCATCTTAATAATGAAGGTAACTCGTTCATGGTGGCACATTTTGCTTTAGCACATTTGTTTGTGCAGGACATGGAGAAGCAGACCCAGGATTTGGAGAAGATCCAAGCAGAAGCTGAGGGTGGTGAGGGTCCTGCTGTGCCTTGCCGTGGTGAGGTTGACCAGAAGACCAGTCCAGCATGTGTCAGCTGAAACAGACTTGCAACCTCCTGAGTACAGCTGTGGTGTCTCTCCTGCCTCTCAAAACTACATCATATTTCCTTTGTGATCAACACTAACCCAAGACCATGTGTAGAAGAAAATTATGGGAAACCCTATTAAGGCTTAGCCAAGCTGGCCCAGAATAAGGCCATATGTCCCGTCTCCTTGTTGCATTATTAGGTCCCACTATAGCTGCAGGTGTTCGTGCCAAAGTAATTTTTCACAGGAGCTTTGGAAAGAGCCCCCTGCCAAGAAACCCACTGAAGTATGCCCTGAGGAAAAAATTAAGTAACTTGGTCTTTCCTGCCAACATTTTGTCACCAGTGAATTCTGTTATTTCTTTGTTGTTGGAGAAAAGACGAAGACAAAGATTATAGTAAAAATACAGATTTTTGTTGAATCTTGAGCTGAGTTTTAGAAGATGAAATTCCATTTTGAGTGTAGTAGAAAGTCTAGGTGGCTTTAGACCTGCAGTTACGTATTCAAGTGACCACACAATGGTGGGGTCAGGCTGGTGAGAGTAGTGACCAATGGAAAGTGGTCCTTGCTGGAGTTGGGACTTTACAGAGAAGCTGAAAACTGATCAAAAGAAGATTGTGATCAAATTTGGAAAACCAAAATGTCACACTCAAGTCAATGGTCATTGTGTTAGTCTTTCTGTTGCTGTAATAATACCTGCCATAATCAAGTTATAAAAATAAAAGGCAGGGCTCACAGTGTTGGAGGTCTCGGTCTGTGATCAACTGGCCCTGTAGCTTTTAGACTTTTGGCGAGGCAGTTAAGTACCTCATGGTGGGTATGGTGGAACATAGGAAACTGCTCATCTCATGACCAGGAAGCAGAAGAAAGAGAAAGGAAGAGACCTGGTTCTACAGTCCCCTTTGATGGCCTCAGTGACCTTAAAGTCCTCCCATTAGGTACCAACTGTTAAAGGTATCACCTCCCCAAAGCCTAATCTGGAAACCGAGCCAACACATGGATCCTTGGGAGGTAGTCAAGGCCCAAACTATAGCAGTCATTTAAAAATATTGAAGAATTTTTGAAGAAAAATTATTAGAGTTATTTTGAAGGCAGGATTCTATATGTTTTTCTGATTTTTTTCATTGTTTGAGTTCTATCGGTTACTGAAATATGTTAAAAATCTCCCATGAAATTAAGATTTTTGTTTCCCCATTTTGACCTGTGAGATTTTCCTCTCTATCCTGTAAGCCTGTTATTTGCTATATAAAACTTCAGAGCTATATCTTTCTGAACCTATTTGTCATTTGAAATACCCTCTCTTGTACTTCTAATTCTGTTGTTCACCTTAAAGTCAACTTTTAGATTAAGAGCCTCCCGATTCCCTTGGGTTCATGTTTGTGTGTTGCATCCTTCCCTATCTTTTTCCTCCTCATCTCTCTTAGTGTTGTGTTCTTTTCTCAGGCTTGGCTATTTTTGGTGGTGTGCCGAAGACATATTTGAAAGAATAATTTGAGGTTGTAGAAGATGTTACGTTTCAAACTCCAAAAAGGAGTTTCCCTTTCTTCTGCTAGGTTTCTGGAGCACATGGTTCCCGAGATTAGGAGGAGTTGAAGCTGAGTTGCAGGACTCATCTCAGGACTGAGTCACCTCAGGACTGCCTGTCGGTTTCTCAACAGAGCTGCTAAGGGGCTTTGCTCCTCCAACCCTTAAAACCTCTGCCTCTATCTTCCTGGCCCTGTTACTGTGAAACAGGAACTGCTGAAAAGCCAATTGCTCCTTCCAGAATAAGCAGCAGTTGCAGGGAAAGATGTTGTAGATGCTAGGCTGGGCTCCTTGGGCAACATTGTCTCTTGTGCTCTGGCTCAGCAATTATTTACCATTTCTTGACTTCTAATTATATTTAAAATATAATTTATCTGTCTGCCTTTAATGGAAAAATTGATCCAAATTTCCTAGTTATCCTTCATCAAAAGCAGAGGTTGTTTTGTTTTCTATAGGAAAAACTTTTTTACATCATGAATTGGATTTTTTTTTTTTCTGGTATTGGGGATTGAGCTCAGGACCTTGTGCTTGTGAGGCAGGTGTGGTGCTACTGAGCTAAATCTCTGGCCCTGGCATTTTCTTTTTAATGTTAGGAGATTGGGTCTCACTGTGCTGTCCATACTGTCTTCCAAGTCCTGGGCTTATGTTTTACATGTGTGATCCTTTCTAGTAGGTAGGACTACACATTAGTACCACAGTGCCTAGCTTGCATTTTCTTTATAATATTAGAAAGGCTTTAAAATTGGATAGTTATGAAGCATTGAAATTTTAGATCATAATTTTTGTTTAATAGAAATGTGGTATAATTCTGAACCTTGATGCCGTCTCTAAAACAAGGAGGGTGATTGTATAAAAGTTGGAAACACTATGGTACTGGGAACTCTCATTTGTAAATAAACATTTTATTTTAAGCTCTCTTGCATTTACAGAGCTTGTTACATTTATGGGTATTATATACTATAGTAGATACTTGAAATATCATCATATTACATTATCAGCTTTTTATTGTCTATAAATTAATTAATTTTAATGAAAATGCCAGCCAGATGAGAAGAATTCACTTAAGAGCTGTTCTGAGTAAATTAGTAACAATGTCTTAGATACTGGAACATTAAGAGAGTAGATTTTAAGTGCTCTCATCATGAAAAAATAAGTATGTCCGGTAATACAAATGGTAAATGGCTTGATTTAGGCAGCTCACAAAGTAGACATATATCAAAACATCATGTTGTACACCATAAACAGTTTTAATTTTCCAATTAAAAATTCATGGGTAAAAATTTTAAAAGTTAAAAACAATGCTTACTTGTCTAACGAAAGCACTGAGAGCTCAAGTGCCCTGGGGAGACAAAGTCTCCTTTCCTTTGTAAGAAGGCAAGCCCTGGGGTACGGGCTCTGGGCCACTGGCCCCATTTGTGGTATGGACGCCCTGTGGTGAGGGACTAGTGGACGTTGGCAGCCCGCTGGGCACTGGGTCCCAGCCAGAAGAGCTCACTGTGGTTGACAGGGGCTGTCACCAGCAGCCACAGGCTCTTCAGGAAGCCAGCAAGGCGCCAACAGAGGCATCAACTTCCCCAGGAGTTTTGGTGTGAAACATACCCGGAGAACACATGTTTTCCTGTTCACCCTTTAAAGCAGCGAGGATGGTGATTTCATTTGAGGAAAAGCAAAGTCAGTGATGAGCTCTGTATTTTGAGATCCTGGTCATGTTTCTGTATCTACTGGGTTCATTCTTTTAATACTTGCTCCTTTGAGGTTTTGTATTCCAATTAAGCCAGTTCATTAAGCAGTATCAACTTAATAGGCTGCTCTGGATGGATTTGGCCATAGAATTCAGTAGACTCATATTTTAAAATCTTACTTTAACTGTATATTTTTGTTCATATTTCTCATACATATTGATTGTATTTATCATAGGGAATCTGCATCTGTACATAATATGTCTTCACTCTTCTCTTTTTTTCCCATTCCCCTCCCATCCCTTCAACCCATCGTCCTCTCCCCATTTATGAAAGCTTTGTTTCTATTTTCCCTTCTCTTATCTTTTTCCTTTCCTTCCCTTCTCTTTCCTCTCTTCCTTCTCTCATTCCCCTTTCCATCTGAGCATGTTTTTCCCTCTTCCCAATATCTGTAACCAGTTATGCTCCTTGTTTACCCTTTGGGTTTCTCATGAGAGAGAAACAGTGCAATATTTAAACGTGTATGTTCGATTTATTTAACTGGAGATCATGGTCTCAAGGTGCATCCGTTTTCCAAGCAGATCCATTTTATTCATCTGCTTCCTGGACATCACTTGAATGTTGGCTGCCTCCCACTCAGCGTGCGCTCTCCCTAACTCGTGACATTTCCCCCAGGCCTGATCCTCTTCTGACTTTTTGTCTGCTCTCCATGAAATGAAGAAGCCAGTTTTAAATGTCGCAAAACCTCCCCTGTGGCATGAGGGGCCCCTGGCTCTTAGAATTTGTGCATGGTTGAGGCAGCTGGACTACTGCCCTTCAAAATGTCTCTGCTGTTGTGTGCGAGATCCTCGGCTATGCCAGAGAGAGGTGGCCGTAACCTTCTACGCTTACAATGCACAGACACGGCTAACAGTGTACAAAAGTCATCCACTCGTATTCCATTTAGCAAGGTAATAGGTCACCTTCTCCCTCATTCCTCCCTGCCTTCCTAATGTTTGTCCTTCGACACTGGAGCCTTGGCTGTGCCACTCTCTCTACCAGCCACCCTCATACCAGCTCATTACTGAACAGGCACTTGCCAGGCTGTCCTTGCTCAGCAGTGACAAAACAAGTTTGCTGACTGAGGAACCTTTCCACGTGGAAATTAAAGAGACATTAATGGACAGTGGAGAAATAAAGGACATTAGCGGAACAAAGGGCAGACTTCGGAAAAGTCTGGAGGTTAGGTGATAACGTATCAATGTGAATTCCTGATTTTGACCATTATACTGCAGTTATGCTAGAGAAAATCATACTGCAGTATTTAGAGATGAGGAGGGAAAGTGTCTACAGCTTACTCTCAAATAATGAGAAAAAAGACCCATGGGTGTGGTGGCACGTGTATGTGTTTAAATCTACGGGAGCCGGAGGGTTAGGGTATAAGTAAAACAAGGTAGTAAGTTGCAAACATTTGACCAATCTTGAAAGAAAGGCATAGAGGAAGTCTTTGAACCATTTCCCTCACATTTTTTACGTCATCAGTTATTTCAAAATATGAGGTTAAAATTAAAAAAAGATCTTGATGGGCAGGAAACCAGGCAGAGGAAGCCAGTGTCAGAGAAGAATCCTCTGAACTTGGACTACGTCTCACTTCTTGAGTACAGTCTGTTTCACATTCAAGTCCTGTTGGGTTTCCCAAGAGCCTCAGCTCTCCTCTTCCTCTCAGCAAGATTCTCCCCAAATCTCTCACCTGGCTGACACACTATGTCTTCCTCTTCTGGCTGAGCTCCCCTGGCTCAGGTCCATGCCCTGGTAGCCTGCATTCCTCTTTGCCATCTCCCTGGGATCTGCTTTTTCACTTTACTAGCTCTCTTCTGGCTGCCTCAGTTGCTCTCAAACAGGAACAGATGGCTTCTTTCCAACCTCTAGCCTCTAAATTTAAAATACCTGTCTTCCTGTATCTTCAAGATAACTCAGGAAATGTCATGAGAACAAAGCCAAAGTTCAGTTTCTCTACTGCAGCACCTATCAGTCAGGATATGTGTAATAAGTTATGCTGTGGTAACAAATTGCCCCTCAAGTTTAGCTCTCTTAAATCATTGCTGATGAAAACGAACAACTGTTCTCCCATGTGCCCCGTGTTAGGATGTCTGTGCTCATGGCAGTCACTTGGAAACCCAGTGACAGAGGCTTTGTCTTGTCTCCTGCTTCTGCCATCATCACGGTAGATGAAGAGAAATGTGGTGAATTATTCACTGGCTCTTTCAAGTTCCTCCCTCAAAGGGATGAGAGTTACTTCTACTCATTTCGTTTCATTCATGAAGTACAGTCCTTGTGTTTGGGACACAGAGAGGTGCAAGTATATTTGCAACATCCCTGATGATTGTCACAGCACTAGTTCTTGGCAGCTGAGCTGAATTTAACAGTTAACTTCAGGAGAACTGCTCAAGAGGCTTGTGACAGGAGAAGTAAGGGTGCTGATTGCCACTGTGGGCAGAGTAGACAGAGCCTCCTTTGGGAGACCCCCTCCCACCCCTTCCTGCCCTCCTTGACACTTATGCAGGCCTTTGTCACCCTGCCCTAGTAGGATGCCCTGTGGCTGTGACTTTTGTTAGATAGGTACATCCTGTATGCACCATTAATACTTATGGAAATGCACACACCTACAGAGGACAACTGCCCTAGGTTCTGGGCTATAAGGACAAGCGTGACATTGACTTTGTTCTCATGGCATTTCCTGAGTTATCTTGAAGACACAGGAAGACATGTGTTTTAAATTCAGAGGCTAGAGCTTGGAAAGAAGCCATCTGATTCTGTTTGGCAGTAACTGAGGAAGCTAGAGGAGAGAAGGTAGGAGACAGTGCTTCTGCTCAGACATACTCTTTTCAGGACTGTCGTTCGTTGTCCTGGCTGGCCAGAAAAGACAGGTGGTGGTGGATCAGATACTGAAGTTTAGAGGCTATTGATATATATATGTCTCATGTTTGCAAACAATTATTTATCAGGCATCTGCTATAACCATAAGGCAAATCATACTCACATGTGAGTAACAGTTTGTAGTTTATGCTTCATGTTGTCCTAAAAATCACTGGCTCGCTTTGCAAACAAGGACACCGAGACAGGTGACTTGTCCGGGACCTTATGAATCGCAGCTGTACGGCTTGGAACTCCGGTTCCCGGTTACTCATCCCGGGCATTTCCCACTAACCCATATTGCCTAATGATCCCACAGTCCCAGGGAAGATTTTATTCACTTTTGTGATGAATGTGGGGGCAACCTTATGTTGTTCCAAGTGAACCTGTAGGGTCCTCTCTCTCCAGTTGGATGATTATGAGGATTAACAGTGCAACATAAAAGGAATTGTTCTAGAGGGTACTGTGAACATGCATGGAGCTCCCAACTACCAAAGGCATACTCTGCTGACTGACTTCTGCCAGTAAATAGCCGGCTCTGCATGATGTAACCACAATGAGATGCGGAAAGATGAGAGAGGGCAGAAGATTCCTGGGGTCCTCTCTTTCTCCCTGAGATTCTCTTGTCTGCCACAGCTTAAGGCTGAGGAAGGCAGGCTGAGTCTCTGGAGCCACAACATGGAAATGTGGGTGCAAGTCAACCATATCATTTCCATTTTTCAAGGTTCTGAAAGACTTCCAGTCTTATACTGGCCTTCCATTGATTAAATAAGATAATGCGTGTAGAGCCCTTGGCACATAGTAAGTAGCCAATAAATAAATGGTAACTGTTCTAGTAGTAATAGTGATCTTTGTTACTTATGTTAGTATTTTATTTTTAAAATGATCTTTAAATTATTGCAATAATAGAACAATATTATTAGAGCAACAGTGACTTAATGATCATGGTAATAACAACAACTATGCTATGCCAATTAGTGGTGTGAGGGGGGAACAGAACAGGAACGTTGAGTCCAGGGGAGAGAATTTTATGAATGAGGCCTGGGAGGAAAAAGCAGTCCGTATAGGAACTCTGTACTTTCCACTTGATTTTTCTGTGAATGTAAAACTGCTCTACAAAATAAAACGTATTTAATTTTCTTAAATAAGAATGCAGATGGATGGACAGTTGGTATTACTGTTTTTTGATTCTCAGAGACAATGCACCCCCTTATTGCTTGTTCCTGGGTGGATCTACTGCCACCACCTAACCTCTGGTACGTCGTGCGCATGTTTTTCAGCTGCTGGCTCTGCAGATACTCAAGCGAGCACCATGCTAATGAGGAAGTAAAGTTTGCCATGGGACAGTCGCCCACTGTTTTCTCTGCTCACCGTGGGTGTTACGGCTGCACTGCTGGCTGCCGGTTGCAGGGCTCAGGTTCACTCCACGGAGCTGAACTGAACTCACTGTGGCTGCAGTGGGGTGGCTTGGCTGGACATAGCCCTCCAGGTCATCTGGCGTGTGCCCACCGCCCAACTCGTGAGACCCCCAACCCACAGATCAGCGTACGTTGTCCCCAGATTGCCGAGCGGTTGGCTCCTTTCCTTTGCCTAATGAAAGGTTCTCCTTTCTTTGGCTAGGAAAATGCCCAGGTGATCCGAGAAGTAGAAGTTGACAAGGTCTCCATGCTCTCCAGGGACCAGGTGGAGGCCATCAAGCAGCTCTGGCAGGATCCAGGAATCCAGGAGTGTTATGACAGGAGGAGAGAGTACCAGCTGTCAGACTCTGCCAAATAGTGAGTACCGAGCTCCAGCTGTGGCTGCCCGCGGTGCTCTGGGGTAAACGCGGCCGTGCTCCAAGGCTCATCACTGCCTCCCGACGCGGGGCTTGGCCAGTGGCAGTCTCACCTTCCCGTGTTTCTGTGCCTCTCTGACCCTCTTTGATCCTCTGTGTAACTCTAGAATTCCCTCCTGGCCCACAACCACCCACCTTTTCTCACTGTATTCTAAGCCTGTTATGTGCAATTCGAGGTTTCATCAAATTGGGGGTTCTTAGTGGATATGCGGGGTATTAAAATTATGATTTAAACAAGGAATATATCTGCTTCTGGTTTCCTTTCCTTCTCTTAATATTCCTCTTTTTGTTTGTCTCGAACCAGACTTGCCCCAAAACCTAAAATCAGACTTCAGAGCTGCAGTCAGCGGCTGATCTGATGCTTCCCTCTAGTGGTCAAAACAGGCATCTTCAGGCAAAGCACACAGGAAACAGCTGATTCCTTTATTAACCCTCTGCAAAAACCTAGGTTTGATTAGTAGAGTTCAAATTTTGTGTTTCTTAATTTTTATTTTCTGACAATGTGAAATAGGAATAAAATGGCTAAAGGTGTAGGGAAAGTGGGAAGGGTAGGGGAAAGGTAATAAGGCAAAGAAAAAATAGGAGAAAATTAAAAAATGGAAATAAAATGTTTGTAAATGGGGAGGGGGAGAGGGGGGTGAAGGGAGGGCAGGGACAGGGGGAGAAAATGAAAACCAAGATCTGTTATGTAAAGGTACAAGATCCCAGTGATGAATGTCACCACTGTATACCTAAAATGTACCAATAAAAAATTACTTTCTGAGATGGGGTCTTGTATTCCTGGCCTCAAAATTACAATCCTTCTCCCTTAACCTGATGAGTATGAAGAGGTCACCGCAGGTGCCATTTTACCTGGCAGATCGCTTTAATTTTAAATCATTATTCTCAGAAAGTAAGTGATGTCTATTTAGACAGTCCTGCATGGAAACCATCCCAGAGAGATCATAGCGTTTTATTTTCTTAAGAATTTCCTGAGGGGGCTGGGGATTTAGCTGAGCGGTTCGGTGGCCTGCCTTGCAAGCCGAAGGACCTGAGTTCAATACCTGTTGAGAGAGAGGAGAGAGAGAGAGAGAGAGAGAGAGAGAGAGAGAGAGAGAGAGAGAGAGAGAGAAAGATAGATATGCAGACAGAGAGAGATGCAGACTGTTTGACAGCCTGAGCAGCAAGGGGGTTACTCAATGTCAAAGGCAGCTGTGACCTCCCTGCTCATTTCTTGAGACTGCTTGGTATTATTTGCTCTGAGGCCCCTGGCGACTGGTGAGGGTGCACAGTGTACATCTGTTTGGAAGAGACCCACCAAAACTGTGACAGAATTTAGTGCGATGCTGGAAACTGAGGCAAGTCCATGGAAAAGGGTGTGGGGGCAGCCAGGGCGACAGACTTTACAGAGTTACAAACCCAGAATATTGTTCCATCTTTCGAATCTGTGGGACATGGGCACTTGTACATTTCTTTGGTTCAAGTCAGTGGTTCTCAACCATCTGCCTATACTATGTACTTATTTGGACATGTATTCACCTCACCAGCATTTGATAGATGTTTGTCATGTGCCAGGCACTATAGTAAGGGCTGCAGAGCAACCAATGCCTTCTGCTCTCAGGAAAGCAGTTTGGTGGCATGAGACAAGTATAAAAAAACACTCACAGAGTGAATATAATATTCACTCTTTACCTCCTCGGGACACATTCCAAGACCCTTCGTGGATACCTGAAACCACGGATAGGATCAAACCCTATAGTACTGTATTTTTCCTATATGTATGTACTTATGGTGAAGTTTCATTTATACAATTGGCGTAGTGTCTCAGACACTTTGTTGTTGCTGAAATAGAATACCCAACATCCACAACTTCAGGAAGGAGAGATTTGTTTTGGCTCAAGTTTCAGTCCGTAGTTGGCTGGCTCCAGGGCAGGAGAGCCTGGCAGAGAAAAAGCTGATGATGGCATGGCACACAGAAAGCAGAGAATCAAGGGAGGAACTGGGAAGGGAGATAGACCCTTCCAAGCTACACCTCCCAGTGATCTACCTCCTCTTACCAGACCCAGCTCCTAACAGCAAGTCAGCTTTAAACTGCATAAGACTCTTGGGGGACATTTAGATCTCAGGCATAACAGTAAGAGATTAACAATGACTAATAATTAATAATAATATAGAACTTTGGGGGCCACTATTAAGAAAAATAAGAATTACTAGAACATAAAGCACTGTGGTAGCATGAGAGATGATCTGCTAACTGAGATGATTACTCAGTGACTAACAGGCTAGTAGCAAATATAGTGTAGGTACATTAGAAAAGGGGTGATTCATGTCTAGGGCAAGACAGAGCAGGACAGTATCAGATTTTATCATGTTATTCAGAAGATCACAAACTTAGAAATTGTTGTCAAGCATGGTGGTACAGGCTTGTCGTACCAATACTTGGGAGACTGAGGCAGCAGTATCATCTGAGCCCAGGAATTAAGGCCTGCCTGGCAATACAGCAAGGCCCTGTCTCTAAAAACAAAACAAAACTTACGGGGTAACAAAAGTGAAGCCTGGGTTGAGGAGGGTACTGCCCAGGGAGAAGAGCACTGAGCCCTGAGTAGTATGGGCTCAGGGGTAGAGTGTAGGTGGTGGCCTAGTGCCTGGGCTCTTGAGCTGGAGGCTGGAAGGTGTCCGGCTTTCCTTTACTCTTGGTTCACCTTCACACCCACCTGTTCAGGGCCTGGTGTTCAGGCTGTGCTGGGAGAAGGCAAGACCACCTTGGTTTGCACGGGACTTGGAATCACAGACTCCATTCTTGGCCAGGATCTGAGTTGTTATTTTACTAAAAAATACCTTTTATGTGGGCCTTGAAATTTAAGAAGAGAGTGTTCTCATTTTACTAATGAAAAGGTGATTATGTTTTAATAATCACTCTAGGCTTTAATATTTGGCCCCAAATAATCTAAGACAAGTTTTGCATTTTTTAGGAGATGTTTCATTTCCCAGTGTCTTTAACAGGAAAGCTTTTCTTGTTATTCTGAAAGAATTCCCCTTTGGCCTGTTTGATGTCTATGTATTTTCTTAGAGACTCCATTTGATTCTGAACAGCAGCTTTAGCGAACAGCACCTACAAACATAATGTTCTTGGATGAGGGACATTTGGGAAGGCAATCAGAGCCATTTCCGGCCTCCAGTCCTGCTGCCTCCTTCCCTCCCAGCCAAATAGAAACGGTGACCGTTAGAGCCCAGAAGAGTTGCCGTGACCTGCAAATTTCCCAGAGGGCTCACAGGAGTGCTTCTGATCCTGCTCTCTTCAGACCAATTTTGGAAGGGTTGGGGGCCTGGCCTTCAGTTGGCTCTGGAGAAAGTCATTCATGGAATCCACGTATCTGTGTAGCGGCTGTTATGTGGGGTTAACTTCCTTGAAGCAGTACAGACGTTTCTTCTTTCTCTAAAAGGAGCCTCGGCTTCTCCTTCTTTAATGTCACAGTTACCTGACTGACATTGACCGGATTGCCATGCCGTCATTTGTACCCACACAGCAAGATGTGCTTCGCGTCCGAGTGCCCACCACGGGCATCATCGAGTACCCATTTAACTTGGAGGACATCATTTTTCGGTAAGCCTGTCTCCCAGACGTGGTCCTTGGAGAATCTGTCTGCCAGGCCCAGAAGTTCCTGGATGGTGTGTTAAATGTTATTCCTAAGGAGGGGTTGCATCTCATAGGGCAGAATGGCCCTTTCTGTCTTGGGGAATGTAGACTGTAATACGTCACAATTCTAGAGTGCAGAAGGACTTACCTTCTGTTGTCCATAGGTAAGGCATTCATTTCTGGAAAACTGAAATCATTGTTATATGTAACTTAGTGCTTCTCTTCACTCTTAAAATTCTTGAGGATCCCAGAAAGTACTGACTCTATGGTACCACACCTCATCCCTTTCCTCAGACAGTCATGTTGTCTAATCTTTCTGTGATCTGTCTTTATTGAGCAGGATGGTGGATGTTGGTGGCCAGCGATCTGAAAGACGGAAATGGATTCATTGCTTTGAGAGTGTCACCTCCATCATTTTCTTGGTTGCTCTGAGCGAATATGACCAGGTCCTGGCTGAATGTGACAATGAGGTATGCTGGGTGGGTAAGGTATACATCAGTAGCTTTGGAAGGCAGAGACCTATTTATGTGGTTCTCAACAAGCCAGTGAGGTAGACCCACCAGCTAAATGGTCTTATTATTCAAAGTGCAATCTGTGGACTAGCAGCACAGCCATCATCAGGTGCTTGTCAGAAATGCAACCTATTGAGTCAGTCCAGACCTGCATTTAGTTCTACCTGCATTTAGTTCGCAGGCAATGCAAATATAGTCATATGTTGCTTAACGACAAGCATTGTTACAGTTTGTGTCTAGATGTCCCACCAAAGCCTCATGTGGTCATAGGCGAGACTTTTTCAGAGGTGGCTGAATCTAGGGTGTGTGACTGGTTCATGGTGCAATGTTAGGATTAAGGATAAAGGTATGTGATTACTAAATCAGTCTACTGATTGGTTTAGCACCACCCTAGTCCCTGTAGCCTGGACATAATATAAGGGACAGAAAGAGGCTTGTCTTGTCCCTATCTTGCTTGCTTTACTACCTTCTGCCAACCATAAACTGTTTCTCCTCTGCAATGCCTACCATGCCACCCTGACTTGGAGCCAGCCAATTAAGGCCTGAAAACTCTACCAATTGTGGGCTAAATAAACCTTTCCCTCTTTAATTTTGGACACTGGGTATTTTGTCTCAGCAGTGACAGAAAACTAACTAAAACAGGCACGGACTCAGACGTACTTCGGTAGGTGATGTCACTGTGTTAATGCTATAGAATGCATGTATAAGCCTAGACTGCAGAACCTACCTCATACCTGGGCTGTATGTAGGGTTACAGCCTGCTGCTCTTTGGCTGCCAACCTGCATAGTATACTGTTGTACTCAGTACTGTAGGCAATGATAATCTGTGTACCTCAACATACCAAGATGTAGCAAAGGTACACTAAAAATACTGGGAAATAGAAATTTTTCAACTCCATTGTAATCTTATGGGACTGCTGTTGTATGTGTCTGCTCACCAAATGGTTGTTATGTAGTGCAAGATTGCACAATTGTGAAACACTGGTCTGAACCTTAGTTCTAAACTTTGATACATAGTGGAATTTTCTGTGGAATGTAAGGGAAAACTTGTGCCTGGATCCAACCTGAGATGCTGAGTAGGTGTGGTCTGAGCATGGGAATTTTTTTAAAAAGCTCTTAAAGTGAATCTAATGTGCTGTGAAGGGTGGAAACTACTCAAAAGCAGAGGTTCTCATCATTGATGGCATACTGGCATCCCCTGGGAGGGTTAAAAAAAAATACAGTGTTGTGGGCCCCACACTAGAGAATTGTAGTTACTGGGCTCAGGTGGGGGTTTTCTTTTCCAAGTGCCCCAGAGATTCTAATGTGTGGCCAAATTTGAGCAATACTGTCTGGGAAACTATTTGAGCACAGACTTTTCAAACTTTCATAGGCCATGGCTTTCCCGAATTAGCCAAGTGGTATGGTCAGTGGTGTCAGGTGCTTGCAGCTCTTCTGTGGTTGCTGGGATTGTCTTCCCTTCACTTCCCCTGGGAGCGACTAACTCCGGGCAGCTGGGGCTGATCCAGCCCAGTCACACAGCTCGGCATCCAGTGCAGAGCTGCCTGGTGCCAGATAGGTCCAGCTCCACTAGAATTTCTGCCCAAACATGAAGAGGACCAGCACAGTCATTTCTTTGTGAGGTTGGGGGTATTTTCTGTGGGATGCTAATGTCTCCTTGTCTTTCCCCTTGAACTTGCACAAGAACCCTTGATCTTTATTTTTTAATCTTTATTACGTTTATTGGTACATCTTAGGTATACAGTGCAGTTACATTCATCACTGGGATCTTGTACCTTTACATGACTTATCTTGGTTATTTTTCCCCATTCCCCAGCCCTCCCTCCCTTCACCCCCCACCCTTCCCTGTTTACAAAGACATTGTTTCCATGTTTTTCCTTTTCACATACTTTTTCTTTTCCCTTTTTACCTTTCCCCTACCCCTCCCACTTCCTCTACTCTTTTAGACCTTTTCTTCCTATTACACAATATCAATTATAATTTTGATTCTTATTTACACTTTAGTTTTTCACACCACAGAAACTATTCCGTATTGACATGTGTGTCTTATTCATTTCACTTGAGTATGGCCTCAATGTGCATCCGCATAGCTATAAATATCTCTAGTTTCTCGTCCTTCATGGCTGAGTAGTACTCCATTTTATTAAAAAAAACTACAACAAAAAACCACATCTTTATCCAGTCTCTAGTTGTCTCAGTTCCAGAGCATATTTCTTCCTAACACAATATCAATTATAATTTTGATTCTTATTTACACTTTAGTTTTTCACACCACAGAAACTATTCCGTATTGACATGTGTGTCTTATTCATTTCACTTGAGTATGGCCTCAATGTGCATCCGCATAGCTATAAATATCTCTAGTTTCTCGTCCTTCATGGCTGAGTAGTACTCCATTTTATTAAAAAAAACTACAACAAAAAACCACATCTTTATCCAGTCTCTAGTTGTCTCAGTTCCAGAGCATAAAAGTGAATAAAGAGCTCATTCTAGGACTAGGCGATAACTATGAACAACTCATATCTTGTATTTCTTGAGAGCAGACCCTCTGAGGAACACTGTTACAAAAGCTAATTAGTGAAAGATTAACCCATTTACTGGTGTCCTTGTGCAAAGAATAGAAATCTTGGCTGCTGCCCAACTCTCTCAAGTGGGATTGGTTAAAACAAAGGCATCCTGTTATCAATACGAAAAATTAGCTCCAAATTGTCTCAGGGATTACTTATGATGTTTCTTTAACAAGTAAAGTCAAGTGCACAAGGGACAAGTAACTCAGCCTGATGCACTCGGAAATTAAACATTTCCTCCCTTCCTAAAAATCACAAGGTATTTGGAGAAACTTAAGTGACTGTCATTTCAGACTTTTCTTTTTGGTTGTATGTATTTATTATACCAATTCCCTATTCCGTACAGGAATTTTTAGATAAGACATTTCCTTTGGAATTATTGACAAGATCCTAGTAAATTTTAGGTTTTAAAAAGGTGTGACAGGGGCCGGGGATTTAGCTCAGTGGTGCCAGCCTCGCAAGCACAGGGTCCTGAGTTTGATTCCTGGTTCCAAAAAATGAAACAAAACAAAAAGATGTGACTGGTCCCCTCTGTCGTAACGTGGTCGGGATCTTACTCCCCCACGCGCACTGCAGGGGAGAGTGAGTCCTGAGAGCTGGGGACTGTGAGGCGAGCTTCTCTGGAGCACAGTATGTTGAGCTTGGATGTGTTTCATCTGACAACTTCTTTCCCTAAAGGGAAGTTCTTGTTTCTTTTCTTTTAGAAACACTTAGGAGAAGAATTTTATCTGGAACATTTACTGTCATCAGTAGGATTTATATGTGCATTCTCTGCTCTCCACAAATTAGGGGCACTTAATATTTTCTTGTCTAATTATACTTTCTAATATTTGGAACTTATGGTCTTTGTACATAATATTTGCCAGATCTCATCTTTACACAGGTTTAGGGCAGTTATTTTTTTTTGCTACTGGGGATTGAACCTGGGCCCATGTGCTTGTGAGGCAGGCGGGGGGAACCACTGAGCCAAATCCCCGGCCCTAGGGCTGTTCTTTACTTAGTATGCACATCTATCCAACAGGGACACGTCCTTTTCCACTAGTGCAGCTTAGCAGTGTTACTTCCCTGTGTGGCCACTGTGTGGCATTCCTAAGGGTGGTGGCCCTGCTGAAGGAGCCTGCCTCCTTCTCATGTCACATGACTCCAGAGGCCTGATCTGGAAATGCCACCCAGTTAAGTGGCTATCTCAGATCTGCAGCTGGCACTTCTAACAGGGTAATCCCAATAGCTACACAGCACAGGATACTTCTGCCAAATGTGGGCTTCCTGTTCCAAGTTGCACAAAAGCCTTTCTTATTGCATCCTAGTTTTGGGGTACAGTTTTGGACACTCTAGGAAAGGAGATCCAGAAAACAAATTACTGGGTGGGGTGAAAGGAGGGGCAAAAAGCCTGGTGCTCCGTGGGTCCTCCTGCTCACCAGCTTCTGCACAGGCAGTGACCCAGACTGCAGTAGCAGCGCAGGAAGGACTGACGGATGCACCAGCTGTGTGGCCTTTAGTTACCCTAGGTCCTGTGTTTGTCTTTTAGAATCGCATGGAAGAGAGCAAAGCCCTGTTTAAAACCATCATCACCTACCCCTGGTTTCTGAACTCGTCTGTGATTTTGTTCTTAAATAAGAAGGATCTTTTGGAAGAGAAAATCATGTATTCTCATCTGATTAGCTATTTTCCAGAATACAAAGGTAAGTGTGCGCCTCGGGGACAGTGCTTCTGCTACTTCACTGGAATAAGCCCCGAGTCCTCAGCAGCCTGCACAGCTCTCCCTGATACGTCGGAACAGCCTCACCATTTGCCATCTTTCCGAGCTCACGTTCGGCTCCCTCCCAGCCTGGAAGACACCTGCCCACTCCTTTCTGCTGACTCCTTGTCGCTCTCCAGGATGCAATTCAGGCTTCTTCTCTCCTGGGAAGCCTTTCTGACCCTCCTGCGCTGGTCGGGCCTGCAGGGGTGTGCCACCTCCTCTGCTGCCGCCTTGCTTACTTGGCCATCACCCCACTGTGCTGTACCGTCTGCTAGCTTGCAAGTTCAGTTGTCTTCCTCGTCAGCTTCTTGCGGGCAGAGGCTGTGTCCAACTTAGCTTTGTACTCCCAGGGCCAGTCAGAGCACCTGGTGCTTCCTCTTTTCAGGTGGAATCCTCTTTCAGACACAGGGCAGATGAGGCAAGAGACTTTCTTGCCCGACTGCTAATTATTCCTGGTACAAGAGGGCTCAGATATTACTTTGATATCGATATTTAGCGGGTATTTCAGCACTGCCTTGATCAACCACATTATTGATCCATCAAGCTTTAGAACCACCTTCATTCTCACTCTTCCTTTTCCCTCTCCAGCCCACGTCTGTATAAGGATTCTCTCCAATGATGGTCCAAATCAGAATTAAATTGCACCAATAATTAAAATTGGCATTTAAAATACTATTTTTTGGATTCATAATAAAGTACACTAAAACACTGCTGAAGGTAAATTCTTTCCTAGAAATAAGTGATAGATCAAAGATAGATATAGATAAATATAGATCAAAGAAGGATTCCCAAATAGGAACAAGAGTATATTTTAAATGGTTCTTGGCAGGACATGGCCATAAGTCTATGTTTTTTATTCTTCTGATTGCATTCGTGAACAGGACCAAAGCAGGATGTAAAAGCTGCCAGAGACTTTATCCTGAAACTTTATCAAGACCAGAATCCTGACAAAGAGAAAGTCATCTATTCCCACTTTACGTGTGCTACAGATACGGAGAATATCCGTTTTGTGTTTGCTGCTGTCAAAGACACAATTCTACAGCTAAATCTAAGGGAATTCAACTTAGTTTAAAAGCTACTGCCCACCCATTCCCATAACAGAAGACATGATGAGCAAGACTTACTGGGGCCGGACCCTGTGCCGGGCGCCACAGACTTTGTGCAGACCACTGGGACAGCGGGGGGTAAGGACCTTGGAACATGTTAGTTTACAAAGCCTTTTAAGTCTTAATTCCCAAGTTGTTTTTATAGTTGTCTCTTGGCTGTAAGATTTTGTGTTAATTTTAAAATTTGGTATTTCACAGAATTTTCAAGTCTTTCTGTTTAAAAAATTAAGTGATAGCCATTAAAAATCACTTAATAGAGGGGTCTGCTAATTTATAGATGCCTTCAGACCTCTAAGATTCATTTTTTAAAGATGTTAATGGGGTTGACACATTAAATCTTATAATTAGATACATTACTAATTTCTACTGTTTCTCTCTTTTCCTGCTGAAGTATGCTCCTTTAACATGGCACCAGTTTTTTTTAATAGTTGGCCCATTTTGTATGCCAATTTCCTAGGCCAAATTATTGAATATACTGGGCACAGTACTTTTAGTTGACATAATTAGGCCACTGTGAAGCCAAAGTTGACATATGGTAAATGTGCTTTAGATAGCAGGTGTGGTGTACTGGTGAAAAAAACACGTGTATGTATATATCCTAACGCATATGGCTATGTCTTATAAACTTACAAAATGGCTAAAAGTGAAACATTGATTAGCAAATGTTATGTAACCCCTACCAAAGTTCTGATGCTTACCAAAGAATGCTATGTTTGAACTATGTATGCTATACCTTTCTCAGAAGACTAAGAATATACCATTCTGCCACTAGCACTGATTATGTTGTGTTTCTTAAAGCACAAGGCTGATGGGTCTGCTCTGAAAGAGAAAAGTGCTGTAAATGTGATAGTAATCCAGAAACATCCTGAAGTCTTCTCCTTTTGAAGTAAGTCTGTAGTCATCACGTTATGTTGGAGTTTCCTTAGCAACTGGTTCAGTGAAGCAGACGCAGAATCCTCTGGGAAGTACAAAGTGCTTCAAACTAAAGACCCATGATGATTTTGTTTCTGATTGTTATTTGAAGGTGCACAAGGAAGCACCGCATGTAGGGATTTAAGGTATGCTATTAGCTATCCTAGACCGGGGGCCCCTAACCCCTGGGCTGCAGACTGGTACTGGTGCTGGTTTGTGGCATGTTAGGAACGGAATGCACAGTGGAGGAGCAGTGAGGGACGCTCCCTCTGTACTCAAAGGTGCTCTCACTGCTCCGTTACCACCTGACTCGGTCTCCTGTCATCACTACAGCCGCACAGGAGCTGAATCCTACTGTGAGCTGCACTTGGGAGGGATCCAGATGGAATGATCTGTATGAGAATCTAATGTAATAACAGAATTAAAATGCACAATAACGGTAATGCACTTGAATCATCCCCAAACCACTGTTATTTCCTACCTGTGGGAAAACTGTCTTCCATGAAACCAGTCCTAGTACCAACAAGGTCAGGGACTGCTAGTTTAGATGGTCTCCAACTTAAAATGGTTGGACAGCATGATTGTACGAGAGTGATATACGGTCAGTAGAAATCATACTTTGAATTCGGATCTTTTCTCAGGCTAACAATAGTGTCAATCTGATACTGTCCAACGATGATGGGGAGCAGCTGAAACCAACATATTCTGGTCAGTCATGTGCTCCTTGTGGGAAATAAGTCTTAGCAACACAGTGCACTGTGGAATAAGGCTTATTTCCCAGATTCTGTAGATTAGGTGCATATATTTTCAACTGACCATGAGTTTATCAGAGGTTGAGAAGCGTCTATACAAAATGTATCCCAACTATATACATGATAAAACAGTATTCTTACAGCGGTCCTACGCCTTCTTTCAGCCAGTAATTAGACTGTCAAGTTCTCATTCTTTTGGAACAATTCTTAATGTAAAGCCATTAAAGAAGAGCATCAGTGCCAGAAAAGATTGAAATTCCTTTACAATAACAATACTAAACCTTAAAAACCAATCCTCACTCTAGATGAAGAACTTGACAAACAAGATGTTAAAGTCTATCTGAAATAGTGAAGGTCCAGGAATAGCCAAAACATTTCAGCACAAGACAACAGAGAGATAGGGAAGTTGCTCTTCAAGATAGTAAAAAAATATCATCAGAGAGACAACACCCCTTGTTCTCTCTTCCATACAAACTAGGATAAAAATTATGAACTGAGTCTCTCTGACCAATTAAAATGAAAAGGTTTCAACAGAATCAGCAATCAAGGAAACGAAACAATGTGGGCTCTTTTTTTATTTCAAGTATTTTCTAGCACTGAGTTGTTAATTTATTTTTGGCTGACAAAACATACAAGAAAATGATGGCTTTCAATCAGTTACAGGAAGTGTATGCAATAAATCATTTAAGGGGAGTAATGATGAAGTACTTTCTTACATCATGGAAAGACAGGCCTTTTCTCACAGGATTTAAATTAATCACCTCTGATAATATTGATCTTGCTGATAGAAATCCTCCCCTTAGCCCTTCTTTCAAAATACACATTACTACTTAGAAAATAAAGACATTTGACATTGTTGAGAGAGACAGTGTTGGGGCTTCAGAGTTCACCAAGTATTACCTGCTCCCTAAGCTTTCAGTCTGCAGTGCTCATGCTGGGTTGGAATGCTGTCTGTTTTGATTGAAAAAGCAACACCTTGGTCTCCTGGAAGACCTGTATTTAGGCACCACAGTGTGCAGAATTTAGATAGGTGAGGGAATGCAACTGATAATCTTTCTAGTTTTATCCAATAACTAAAAACCAAAGCGGACTGAAGATCACAAAGCTTTAATGGACTTAATTTATTTAAAAAGATATACATGGTTAAAGTGAGCAGTCATCATGCAATCCAAATCTCCTGACACTAAGAAATTAAGTACTGTTAGAGAAAAGCCATTAGTGAATATAAACCAAGTTTTTGTGGGGAGAGAGACTAAAGTCAGTTTTAAGAATAAGAACTTCACTGTAAACATTTGTTTATACATGGTCTTACCAAAATACACAAAAAGTAAGGCAGAGGCTGTGTAATGGACAACAAGGTCAAGCTCTTATACAAGCGACAAGGTACAGAGAAGTGAAGGAAATACTGCGGTAATCCAGAAATATTTTTAAAGCCTAATTATCATTAAGTAGTAACCAATTTCTACCAAAGAATAAACATTCCAAAGAAACAGACTATTTGGTAAATTAAAGTTTGTAGGAACGTATTCCCTCCCTGAAAATTTCATTAGCTATAATACAGTTACATCAGCAATGACTATTTTAAACTCTGTAACAATCTACCTTACCTTGTGACAAGCCCCAGATATAATTTCTAACAGCTTGTGGGTGGGTGTGGGTGTACAACCGCTGATCTTGAGAATATTTCCATGTGACCTATGCTACAGTCTTGTTTGAATATTTTTCAGCCAAAGAATTGGAAACTCTTTGGATAATCAGTTGAACACTGGATCTATGATGGCAAGACAAGAAATGTTGAGGTATTTAAACATGTTTTATGTTAGTTTTATGTTAGGCACACTTCTAAATTTAAGGTATTTTATTACCAGTCTCACAGGGTTTCTTGTTACATGGACTTCACTAGAAGGAACATGTTATTAAGATATCAGAGAAATATGAAATGGTTCTCAGTGACATTTTAGTTATAGCAGTTTGATATATCACTGTAGGTGGTAAACTACAATACAAATTTATATTTGTATAAAGTAATAAAAATTTTAAAAATATATAAACCTATAAAATTTGAAGCGGTGGATTTTTGTGTAGCTCTTTGGGTAACCAAAACTATCATTTTTTAAAAAATGCTATAATGTGATTTATTTCACAAAAGAGAAAAAAAGGAGAAAAAAGTTTTAATTAAACATGAATAAGGTCTGTCACAGAGTACAGAAAGGTGTAGGAAGGGGCCAGTTTGGCTTATAAGATAGCCCTGAAACAAATACTACTTTAGAACAGTTGTGGCAGAAAGATGAGTGGGAAAAAAGTTGCATTAATAGCTATATTGGCCAATAACTGAAAACATGGATTATAATAATCACAAAATTTTAACTAATGCTATTTTGATTAGGTTAGCATTACTTCAAAAGTATTTCTCAAAGGATTTTGCAGGAGGATTAATGGGTTCCTTTTTAGTGTGAAGGAGCTATTTATAATACTGCATAGCACCAAAAGGAATCATAGTAAATTTTATATCAAGTCAGTATAAGAAATGTGAATTATCTCTATTTACTTAAATCAGGAAATTATTTCAGTCATAGTGCATAGATATTTGTATAGCAACCCCCAGCATATGAGTATTTCAGCCCTACTCTATATATCAGCTGTTTTGAAGGGTATTTGTCACCTATATGGTGAATCAGCCAGAAGGCTGAGCAAATTCAATTTAAACGGCAAAACTTCTGTACCCAATTCCAATAAAGTACTTAAGGTAAGGAGGTCAGGATGTTCTTAGCTAAATGACAGCCAGTGGTGTTTTTTGGGTGCCATCTGTAGATCTAATTTTTCTGATGCTTTCACTGGTGTCAATGAATCATGAGACTATGTATTACACAGGAAAGATACACCAGAACAAGAGCTATCCTGTCTCGCTCTACTCAGAAAGTGTTCACAATGTGAATGATTTCTGAGTTGTGGATTTGCTGCTCCATGTTTTAAAGGGCTCCACATTATTCAGACTTTCAACACTCACTGGACTGCTCATGTCTCCTACATGGTTCTTTTAAGCTATTTTTAAAAAGTACAATTTACATTAAAAATGATTTACATTGTGACCCAGTACACACAGTATATAGCGTATTTAACAAAAACATTACTTTCAGAAACAGTATTTAACCTTCTTACTTGTTCTACCTATTGTTCTCTATTTTCTTTTCTACTATAAAACATACTGGTCTTGAGGGATTAACTGATTTCATAGCCCACTAATGGGTTAAGACCTATCCTTTGAAAAACAATACATTTGAGGATCCTAAGATTAAAAAAAAAAAAAATCCTGGAACCAGAAAGATTTCTCAGAGTTGTGTTGTGTGGGCCAAGGAAACACCCAGTGCTAGGAGACTTACTCCCATCTTCAGAGTACACTGTTAGCTCCTATATACAAAATTCGAGGCTCACTAACCAAGCGTAGAATACTTATGTTCAAATCTCTATGCTTAACTAACCAAGCACCGTGTCCCGATCTTTTTAATACAGGAGCCACTAATGTCTTTTAATGCAAGGTGACATTTGACATAGCTTGAAGGATCAACTAAAACTGGCAATCAATCCATGCATGACTAAATAAGATACAGAATATTTGGCACAAAAGAATTCTTTTTTATTTCACTAGGTAAGAATAAAATAAACTTTATGGGATGTTTCTAAGAGATGAGCTAGGTGTATAAATATCCACTGGGTTAATATTCTGGCTCCTACAGGTTATCAGGAAAAGTGAAACAATTATGATGCAGGGAAATAAAGCACATTTATGGAGAATGTGTTATTTATTTGAAGGCCACCAGATAGCTGCCTTCAGATGGATTAGGGTTATAGAGAAGGGGAGAAAGGAAGGACTGCCTAGAGGTAGCAGTGATTACTTAGGGACCATATGATAATCAATCAACAGCACTGACCTTGGGGCAAAATCTCCAGACAGTGCTACGACTAGGGAAGAAGAAACAAACATACTTTCAAAGAAAAACTAAAAGCAGTGCACACACTGTAATTCAGGGCACTGTCTTCAAGTACAGTAATAGTCCAAACTCCATTACATGAAAAAAGACTACTGAATCAAACATAATTGTAAACTATAAAGTGATATGCTAAAGACTGATGATCTGGTGATCTATTAATTTCTTAGTCTTTGTAGTTGTTTAGATAAAGACAATCTTCTAAAATAATTGATAACAATTCTTGAAACTGATTCCTTCTATTCTAGAGATAGACAGTGATAATCACCTGCCTATCACATCCTCCTAATAGAGAAAGGAGAAGATGTATTTCTGGGTTCTTGTGGTAAAAGAACATGAAGGAGAGGCACATTGGCTTTATGTGTACTGGTTAAGACACAGTCCTGCTAGCTGCAGGATACCAGAAGTATTTCTATGGTTACTAATTTTACACTGGTATTTCATTGTGGGATAACCAGAAAGTTATAGGTCTAATTTTCTGAATACTGAAATCATGAAACTGGAATGGCTAATGAGGTATTTGACTAATGACATTGAGTGGAACTCCAGGAAAGCAACACTCCAGATGAGGGCAATCCAATGCAAGTCACCTATACTTTTAGGTTAAAAAAAATTTTTTTTTATACCAGGGATTGAACTCAGGTCCTTGCACTTGCAAGGCAGGCAGAGGAACCACTGAGCTAAATTCCTGCCCCTTTTAGGTTAAATTTTGAGGTATGCAATTTGGAGAAGCCCAAAACATAGAAAATACATATGTTATTTGAAAAAAGTTTATCATAGGGACACACTATGATGTGGTTTGAAATTTGTTTTTCTAATTTCATTTATACTCAGCAAAATAAAAGCATCCTAGAGGAAACTACTGATAATGTGTTTTCATAAGCAGAGAGAAATCAGCAGTATTCAGTAGGTTTTGGTCAACAAGAAATACAGTTGCAGTCTAGCATGCTGTTTATTTTAGCTTTTACAACAAAGCAAAGGTTTGATGAGACTGAGAATTTTACAACCATTGACTATACAGTTTTCAATTCCCAAAACAGTTTATAATAGTTTGGTGACACATACAACATGCACCCAAATACTGTATTTCTCAATAACTAAGACACTGACCTATTCTGTTCGTAGTTTACAGTCATGCATTCATCCCTTTACACTTGAAATATTAAGGTGCAAAGATCATGGACAAAAGTCAAGAAAAAATACCTCCATAGCCTTTTTGCTAATGTACAGTTCATAATTTTTTGATGAGCTGTACATTTAAAGAAGTGATTCTCATGTAATTACAAAAAAAAAAATCAGAGATTGTTACTATATCACCATTACCGGGTTAAATTTTAAAGTTCATACATTTACTATGAGAGGGACTATCTGCTCTAAAGCCTAACTCATTGTATCTAAGATAAAGAAAATTTTATTTCTTGTTACCAGTGAATATAAAGCAGGTATTATTAAGGCTTCAATAATTTTCCTTTGAAATCAAGAGTCTATTAAAAACACTAATAAGATAAATCAAGGAAGTATTCTGAGACTTTAAATTCCTAGGGACTTTCCCTTTACAAATGTGATGTTCATTTCTTCAAACCTTTCTTAAGGTGTTATTTAATCTACGTCCAATCTCAAAAGAGATGGTTTTCCATAATTATGCTGCATTTTTAAGTATAATTCAAATCTACCCTTTATTTAAAAAATAAGGAAAGTACCACATATTTATTTATAAAAAGAGCTTCATACTTCTGAATAAATCACAACTTGACAACATCGAGGCAGTGCCTGATTTTGACTCAAGAAGTTTGAACTAAATCATGATAGAAGTTTAAAATGTGAACTAGAAACATCAACCTTTATTCCATGTGGAGACCATGGGGAACCTTTCCACCACTACAGAGAACAAACTACATTTTATTTTATAAAGTAATGAGAATTATAACTAGACACATGATTCAACGTAGGAAACTGAATAGATCTCTGAATAGTTGAAGTGTTTTAATCACATAGCTCTTTTACCTGATTTGACTCCTTATGCATGCATCTAGAAATCACCCCTGTGATATGCTTCCTGAACAGTGATATGTTGGAAGGTACAGTGTGCAAATGAGTAAGGGACTGCTGTGTCTTCTGATAGGGTTCTCCTCAGAGGCTTGGAGAAGGTTCTCTTGCTTCTTCTAGCTTTGTAAGGATCCACTGTTTTGAAGAAATAAACCATTTACTTACTGTAGTGAACTTTCAATGAAACAAATGTAAAGAATGGAAATCTAGAAGTCAGCTTTCCAGTTAAGTGCATACTAATATACAAGACATAAAATTCATAGTGCAGAAGAGATAACTCACTTATGCAGCCCAAATGGCTCCAGGACAAGGTTCCTGAATCTAACAGGCAGAATAATGTTTCTCTAAGGTTTTTGAACTTAGAAATGCATCTTCAGAGTATGAAAAGTAAAATGAACCATCCAGACAGAAAAGGGTAATATGGAAGCTGGACTGAACAACAGCATAATCTAAATATTACTCAAGCAAAATTCCTTTTAACCTGTGTCAGTTCTGTATCACCAACCTCGATGATTCCATATCCATAATTCTACTGCTTGGGAATGGATAATTACATATAATTCTACAATAAGTAGTAGTATAGCAACATCCTTGAGCATTTTTTATACTTTCATTTTCTATTCTAAAAGGATTTGAAATTACAAAAATGAAATGTAAATGTAATAACCTTTCTACCAATAATGTCCATTACTATTGGGCCTGTATGACAGATCAAAGTCTTGTTAGTTGATATGGGGTTATTCCATTACAAAAAGATTTAGAAGATGGAAGCTGAGTAAGATTCTCTAGTACCTGTCTCCCCAGAACACACTAAGTTGACAGTTATGCACTTTCACTAGAACTAAAGAAATCAAGTGAGAGGCCAGTGCCTACTTTTAGTATAACAAAATGAAAAGGTGCACCAAAGAAGGCAGGAATATGAATTGCCTATGTCACCCCTTCCCAACTTCAAGTAGTTCAGCATAGAGAGACCTGCTTGGTGGAGGGAGAGAATACTAAGTCTCAGCTTCAGACTTAAAACCCAATACTAGGACCACGGTAAAACCCAGTGCTGTGCAAAGCCCCAAGACACCTACTGTCAGACCAGTACCCATGGACTGTACATCTGGAACTGAAATTACCCAGGTGCAACTACCCCTCTCCTCAACCTATGGCAGCAGAATGGGAGCAAGACTCCATCTGCTGGAGAGCAGTGTACAAGCTAGCACAGGGTTGTCTTGGGAGTCCAGTATAAGGTCTTCTGCAGTGAGACTCTCCAGTTAGAAACTCAAGGCCCCATTTCACAAATGTAGTTTGTAGATCAGTCTTAGCATTAGGCAGAGACCTTCATGCTAATAGGACAGACTCAAGTTTTGACCTGTGTCATTTCCAGCCTTGGCTGGGCCTAGGGCACATGCATCTGCCTCCTGATACTATGCAGGTTCCTATGGCTCCAAGATGCAGGAGCAGCCCAACTTAGACTGAGCCTTTGTGGCCAAGGGATTATCTCTACCATCTGTCCCCACCCCTCAACCTTGGCCATCACTATACCAGTCCTTATAGATGGAGCTTCAAGCAGAGATTTGCGACCCAGTGGGGCAGACTTATGTGCTGGCCTATATCACTGATACCTGTGGTGTGGACGGTGGTGCATTACTAAGATTGTGCACGGTCTTGCTGCTATGAGACTCAGGTATGACTCAGCTTAGAGTCAGGCTTAGATGGCCAAGGGACTGCATTCAACAATACACCCCAACTACCAACTGCACAGTGTGCAGCGAGACCCCATTTGCTATGGGCAGATTAGGGTAGTAAACAGATGACTTCCTTGGAACTTAGTGCTGACCTGGTAAAACCTAACATCGGCAGATTCTAATGGCCCCCATCTCCAGGCCTGCCTGTAGGTGGAATCTCTAGAAATGCTCCAGTGCTAAGGGAAAACATGCAGTCCCAGTCTGCCAGACTTCTATCTTAGCTACTATTATCTATGGGTAGCTGCAGTGGTTCTGGGCTCAGCAACAGGCAGTCTATAGCAAGGAAAGCCATGGTCTTATCCCAGGGTTATACTGGTCTGGGTGGGCTGTAGGCGCAGGGTGTGTCATAGATTGGTGGCTACAGGTGTTGAAATAGGTGTCTAGAGCTAATCCATCCATGGTGACTCTACCCAGAGGTACAGAGAATCCTGCAATGTCTAACCATATGCTGGCAACTATGAATAAGGGCTCTGGGCCTCCTGTCAGAGAAGTTTGTAGGGACAGATGACTATATCTAGTTTCTTCATCATCATCTTCTTTTCTGAGCAATACATCAACAGTGTATTTGAGACAACCTTAGATTCTGGACCTGTGTGGCATACAGTACTGAAATAGAAATGATCTTAGACAAAAAAAAAAAAAAAAAAAAAAAAAAAAAAGAAGTTGGTTTAGAATTTCAGGAAAGACAAGGACAAAGCCATATTAGGAAGACTGGAATAAATATGGACTCCTTCAATGTCCATATAGCATCACATGCCAACAAGCATCCAGAGCTTTCAGTAAACCATGAACTTGCCTAATAAGGTGCTACAAAGTGACCAGAGAGTAATCAATTTGGGAAAACTCTCAGCATTTAAATTAGCTGTTTTAAGAAACCTCAATAAGCTTGAATAAAATATTCAGAAATGCTTCAATATTCTTAATACAAAAACTCAAAGAGATGGAAGTAATTAAACAAATTCCTGAGCTGAAAAAGACATTATGTAAAATGAAAAATGTGATAAAGTCATCAGTACAATTAGTGAGCTCAACCATGAGCTACTGAAAGTGCACAGATATAAGAGAAAAAAATGAGGAAAGCTTATGGGATTTTTGGATAGTATTAACAGAGCAAATATCTGAGTTATTAGAGTTCAAGAATGAGTGGAGAACACCAAAGGAATAGAAAACTTATTCAAAGAAATAACATAAAAATTCCCAAACCTTTGGAATGATACCAATATCTAGGTATAGGAAGGTAGACAGTCACCAAAATTAACCAAATCTACTCCAAGACATTTTATACAAACTGTTAACAGGTAAAAGAATATTCTTAGAGCTGAAAGAGAAAAGTAACAACGTATAAGGGTATCCTAATTCACCTGACAGCAGAATTCCTAGCAGAAACCTCATAGGATGTAACATGAGATTTTTATAGTACTAAATGAAAAAAACAGAATACTGTGCCCAGCAAAATTATCTTTCAGAAATGAGAGATAAAGACATTTCTAGATTAAAAACTGAGAAAGTGTATCTCCACCATGCCTGTTCTACCAGAAATATTAAAGGAAGTTCTTTAAGCTGAAAGATGTTAGTGAATAAAAACAGAAGATATAAAACTTACAAGTAATTGTACAAATTTAGAATGCTCTAATATGCCAAGTATGTTGTGTGAATCATTTAGTATTTTAGGATTAAGATTAAAAATTAAAACCTGTTCTGCCATCTGCCTTGCAAGTACAAGGTCCTGAGTTTGATCCCTGGTACCAAAAAAACAAATACTAAAACAAACAAACAAACAAAAAACAACAAAAAATTAAAAGCTATTAAAAATAAAAACCACATAAATATGTTAAGAGATAGGCATTATAGAAGGATGTGAAATGGGATAGCAAAAATTCAAAATGTGAAGAGAAATGGCTTACGACTATAGAGTTTTCTTATTGGTGTATTTTCTCTTGTTCTTTATTTCTATTCTTTAAAAGAATGTAACATTATTATTTCAAAATAGCTATTTATAATCAAAAGATGTTTTGTGTAAGCTTCATGGTAGCCATAAAACACAAAATCTATAAAAGAAAAACTAAAATAATAAACAAGGAATCAAAATACACAACCAGAATAAACTGGTTAGCTACAAAAGACTACAAGAGAGGGGGAAGAAAGCATCTACTCCAAAAATAGAAAACAAATTACTATTATAATGGCTGCAGTTAAAACCATGTTTGTCAATAATTACCTTGATTAGAAATGTTAATTCCCAAATTAAAAGTGAATGGATTAAAAAAGTAAAACCAAATCACATGTTGCTTATAAGGAATACACTTTACATCTAAGAACACAGACAGAGTGAAAGTGAAGGGACAGAATAAGACATTTCATTAAATGGAATCCAAAAGAAAACAGGATTAGTCATACTTATATAAAATAAAATAGACTATCTCAAATGCCATAGAAATGGACAAGAAATGTCATATTGTTAAAGGAGTGAATTAAACAAGATGAAATAATTTTAAATATATATACATTCAACTGGACTAACCAAATAAAACTTTATTTTATTTTATTTTATTTTTTTTGAGATGAGGTCTTGCTAGGTTGTCTGGGCTGGTCTCAAATTCCTGAGCTTAAGTGATCCTCTCAATTCATCTTACTAAGTAACTGGGAACTAAAGGCATGTGCCACCACATCCAGTTTAAAGCAACTATTAAAGTCTTAAAGAGAAAGACTTGTTGTACTAATTATGTACTAATGGTTGGGGACTTTAATACCCCACTTTCACCAATGGACAGATCTCTTCAGACAAGAAATAGCTACAGTGTTAACTAGACCAATATGGATCTAAAAGACATCTACAGAATATTGTGACAACCATTGAAAACACATTTTTCTCTTCACACATAGAACATTCTACAGGACAGATCACATGGCAGACCATAAAATGAATCTCATCAAATTTAAAATAATTAAAATCCTATTAGATATCTTCTGACTATAATGCAATAAAACTAGAATAACAAGAAAAACTTTTGAAACTATACAAACATATGGAAATTAAACTTAACTTCCGAACAACCAATGAATCAAAAAAGAAAGTAAATTTTTTGAAACAAGTGAAAATGGAGACACATCATACCAAAACCAATGGAACACAGCAAAAGCAGTATGAAGAGACAATTATAGCAACCAATCACCACGCCAAAAACTAAACTATCTGGCCGGGTGTGGTAGCGCATGCCTGTAATCCCAGCACTTAGGAGGCTGAGGCAGGAGGATAGCTGTGAGTTAGAGACCAGCCTGGGCTACATAGTGAGTTCCAGATCAGTCTCAACTACACAGTGAGACTCTGTCTCAAAAAACCAAAACACCAAAAAACCAAAACCAAAAAAACTAAACTACCTATCACTGCATCTCAAGGGTCTA